CTCTCTGACCCACATGCTCATGCTGCAGCATCCTTCATGTTGTGATCTACAGTCCTCGCTGGGACAGGTCGCCGCCCTAGCTATTTATGCACAGATTTGAAATCGACCACAGCACAATTGCTGACATCAAAATCCTCTCGTGTTGCGAATAATGGCTGCTTTAGAGAAAAATCCTTCCCTTTTGGTCTGTCAGGTAGAGACGAGGTCACCCTGAGATTCATCATTACTGAGAATTTCACTAGGACAAATTACTGAACCAATTTTGGAAGAAAACTACACAACCCCAGCCTTTCATAATGATGAATGATCGGCGTATCTGCTGAAGCAATGTTATAGCCAGAACATGAAATGTGATCGTCTTATGAAGGCGGAGTAGGATGAACAGGCTTCGTGGACAAAATATTAGAGAAATGCAAAATCGTGTATGCTGGTGATTATAATCACGGCAAACAATGTATTGTATACTTGACAACAATATTAGAAAGACATCACAATAATCATTATTGGGATGGATTCAAGCCTTTTTTTCTTTCTCCTCTGAAGAATTCACTTTATCGATGGTTGTTTGTTTTTATGAAAATTGAAAACAAGGTTCTTGCAATGTACATGGTGTCAAAACCAAACAAAACCAGTACATGGTGTTGGTGGTAGGTGTGCATATAGAATGCACCCGAGGAGCTTATCAGGCAAGTGCATATTCCCAGGCCCTCTAGCCAAAGATGTTGTGATCTATATGTCTGAGGGAGGCTGCATTTCTGGACAAGCACCCGGGGTCATTGTTGTTGCAGTTGGTGGCATTGACACGTTTTGAGAAAACACTGGCATAGGTGGTGTCGCAGAGACACCTAAGAATAGAGTGGGCTTATCTGTGCCAAAGCAGCCCAGCTGTTGCGCTGCACGAATGACTCTAGGCATATGTCCTCTGTCCACTGTTGGAAAATATTGGTAGAAAGTTTCAAAACAACCCTGTTTTAAGACACAAAGTGCATTCTCTCCCTGGGTTGTAAAGTGAACAGTCACTAAAGGTACAGTTTTGATTATTTTCCTTTTTAGTCTTCCCAGTAACATGTGAGGCTCTCTGATAAAGCACCCTGTAGCAGTCACGTATCTCCAGCTTTTTTCTTTCTTTCTTTTTTTTTTTTTTTGTTTTTGTCCTCCGTTTTCTTAGAGTCCTCCTACTCCCGGTATCTTATCTCGTGTCTGTGTTCCTGATAGTCTGACATGAAGATTCGAGCTATAATCTGCCTTGAGAGAAATGGAGGAAGAGAAGAAAGAAAAGAGGAAGGCATAGGAATTTCAAACTTTGCGATCTGGATAGCAGCAACCTGTCTAAGTCAGCCTTCTGCTGGATAATTCAATATTCATTTTATTCATTAGGGTGACCAGCTTATTCAAGCTATGCCGGGAATTCCTGATTTTTAGCACTAAAGTCCATGTCCCAGGAACCCCTGCCTCTCAGCCCCGAGACCGCTGAGCACCAGCCACGCTTCCTACAACAGGACAGTTTGTCACACTGCTAACACTCTGGTAATAGTAACCTGTGTAATTTATAGCTTCAAAGGAACCTTCTCCTGAGGGTTGTAAGCCTCATAAAGACCCAGGGGAACATCAGGGCAAATGGTTTCTAGAGTTTCCTAGTGAGAAGAATACATAATACCATGCTGTTCATTATTTCTAGAAATAAAACATTTCCTCAAAGTGGGTTTCAGAGAAGAGCTGGAGATCTAGACGAGGTCTACAGGAGATCTAAGGATACAAGCATCCCCTCCCATTCCCTTTTCCTACAACTTCATCCTACGTTACGGAAAAAGCTTTTACTCGAGCTTATATATGTTAGTCATCCAAGAAGAGTGTACGTATGGATCGGCAGTCAGAAGCAACATAAAGGGTAAATCTGCCAAGGGAGTGGAATTTTGCATCAACGTAGATTAAATAAAGCAACTCCTGCTACCTTGTTTTAGATAAGGATTTTTACTGTGAACCTTTGAATTTCTCTTAAATCAGTAAGAGTTATTCAAGATGATTCAGAAAGCTAAAAAGAAAACTGTGCCTCAGCAGAAGTCTGTTCCAAATCAAAAAATTTTCAGATGACTCTGCCCATCAAATGTACAGCTCACTGTTAATATTGCATTACGTTCATAGAATCCAGAATCTTATTCAAAAGTCAGTTCCAAACTACAACTTTGAAAAGATAGCTCATACTTTTGGCATCAGGGATGATCTTCCAACAGCTGTATGCACATGGGAAACTATACTTGTGTTGTATTTAGCACATTTGCTACTTGGATTCCTTGGGTGCAATATCAATTTTTCATCGAAAGCAGTTTAATAGACTGTAATTTACAAAACAATTGTTAGTTTCCGCTGTTCGCTTCTCATCTTTTGAGATAGATTAATGCCGAAACGGTTTACTTCAGCACTGCTTTCCTTTCAGTAAGAGATTGTAAGTGCCCAATGCAGGAAAACCATATGGTGAAACTCAGACACTTTTAAAAGCAAAGGACAGCTATATTACGTACTTCACATTTCCCAAAGCGAGTCCTGTGAGATGTTAGGCAGACATCTATGTCAAACAAAAGAGGATCTCCACGCTCAATTAGATTGGGGAACACTGGAGATAAACAGAAGTTTAACATGTGCGTTCTTTACTGTAAGATGTTTAGACATTGCATTGGAGAAGGGGCATGGCACACTCTCCAATGGTACGGCATGGCATGTGTGTTCCCAAATGTATGTGATCAATTTTGTCAGAGTAGCTAAAAGGCTTGGTTGAACACAACATTAGGCGAACACTGCTCATTTTTCCTTGTTTCTAAATTTGATATTTTAGCTCCTCAAAAAGTTGGGACTAAATCTATCTTCAGTCTAATTGTGGTGGAAACTAATTTTTATTCGAAATAGCTAGAGCCGCTTTCTCCAAAGCGTAGAAGAGTTTTTGCGAGTGACATTTCATACCATATTGACATTCACACACACTGTAGGAAGGAACATTCTTATAAAAATGTCATACCTCTGATTATAAAAGACACAACAAGGCAATGAATTATTAGAAAAAGCTGTGGTTTGAGACCTTCGGAGACAATTTCAGCTGATTGACGGACTTGGAGAGGGCATGAATTACTGACAATGGTGCAGGGCTTGTTAGTTGCTAGATTCAGTCAGTGTTTGCAGAGTTATAAATGAGCAGATATGGCCATTGTAGTTACGGCATGTCTTTAATCTGCAATTGGTCTTTGTCTAATAAGAATACCCATAAAATCCCAGCCCAAAATTGTGCTGTTCTATGCGATCTGTAACAATCTAAAATCTTTGGCTTCTATCCAGAACGAGAAAGCAGGAACGAAGATTAAAGAATCTGCCAGTTTTAGCATTCAGGAAGAAAGACTGGGGAGAGATCAGAAGTATCAGAGATACTGAAGACAGATAGCTAGAAACACTTACTATGCTACTGTACGTCCATCCCCACTGCTTTTCTTTTTTTTTTGGCGCAGAACGGGAGTGAATGAGTCCTTGTAGTTGCTGGAACATTTGAGTGGTATTGTTGGAGGGCCGAATATGAGGCATAGTTTCCAAAGTGGCGACAGCATGAGCAACATAAGAACTATCAGTATACAAGTTAAATGGCGACTGATCTACGTTTTTGAAGACTGTGACTAAGGCTGCTAACTCAACGAGTTGAGCAGAGGAGAACCCGGTGGGAAAACTGCGGACCTGGCCACTAATGCTATAGGCCGCGGTGCCTGAGGAGGAGCCGTCGGTAAAGACTAAGACGGCTCCTGGAACGGGGGAGACTCTTGTTTTTTTGGGAAATATTACAGGTGTTTGATAGAGGAACTGAATTAGTTTATCAGGGGGGTAATGATTATCTAGTTTGCCCTGGAAAGACGTACAGTTAACCGCCCAATTATCATCATTTTGTATTAGCCACCGAATTTGGGAAGCATTGTAAGGGAGTATTATGATATCTGGATTCTTTCTAAAGAGCTTAAGGGAGTTTTCTCGCCCCAACGAATAATCTTAGCTACTAAGTAAGGGTAGGTGGGAAGGACTTTAGGCGAGGAAGCCGATAGGTGAACCCAAAAAAGAGGCTTGCCCTGCCAAAAGAGTCCTGTGGGCGAAAAGGGGGTGGGGAGGACAAGTCTTTGGAAAGCTGGGCAAACTCTTTTTGAAGTTGTAAGACATCCTTTAATTGCGTAACCCTTTGACTTAAGTCTTCTTTGGCACGCAAAAGCAAGGGCATTGTAAGGGGAGGCATTAATGAAAGTGCGTAAATCTCGGGCGTGTAAGGAGGAGGCCATTTGGGATCGTGATATTGGGCCGCTTCCTCTCTGAGGGTTGCCTCTTCTGCGGGGTCGAGGGACTCTTGGAGGGGTTGTTTTTTGAATACCGGGTAATTGAATGCATGAGGGGCTGTACCCTCGGGCAAGGGAGGATAGAGGGTCTTGGTGTCTGGCCTACTGATCGGGGGCTCGTCTCTAGATGTCTGGAGCTCAGCTGAGGGGTCCTGAGGGGGCATATTAATACAAACTGAGGGGCAAGGGGAAGGACATGTTGGTCTCTTAAAATTATTAGGAGAAACCGGCCCTTCGGCTGTCTTTAAAGACGTTCTCGAAGCGGACCGCGACACGGGTCGGAGGCAGAATTCTGCTACTGAGAGCAGCTGCTTTTTATTGGGGTCTGAATCTGCCCCTTCAACAATATCTCTGATTAGTCCCCAGTAGGAAAAAACAGATACAGGGACGGCATCTGGGCCCTGATTTAGAAGTAAATCGTTTAAATCTTTACCTACTTTTTGCCATTTGTGTGGGTGAATCTCAGGTCCACCAATAATAAACCAAGGACAAGCATGATCAATGAACACAAAAAACTTTACTAAGTCTTTTTTTCTTAACTCTAATTTCTCTCTCTCTGAGTGAGGCCTTAAGATCCTTAATAAAAACGGCCTCTTTAGACAATGAATGGCCCATCTCGATGGGGTGACAATGTAAAAATTTACTCACCAGACCGTCGACTCTGTGAGCGGCAGAACGAGGGTCTCTGTAGGGTTTCCTTCGGCCGAAGAGCACTCTGCGGCGTCACCCGACAAAGGTCCATACCTCGGGCCCCACGTTGGGCGCCACTTGTCCCAGCCCACGGGACCTTCTGTTACTCTCGGGGGCGAGGGGGACCGTGCCTGAAAGAGATGGGGGAGAGAAAGGAATGAGACCAAGCAAAGGGTTGTCAAGGTCTACTTTACTTGGATTTTTAATAGGTTTTATATACAGAAAACAAGGAAGTAGAAACAGAAAAATAGAGTGGGGGGATGATGAGGCTTGGGTGTGGGCTAATCAGCCCCAATTAGCATCCCAATGGCACCGAAAGCTGTTTGTGATGGATCACTCAACCCCAACCTGGCAGGGGGTTGGGAACAATTGCAGGTAGCATGCCCTGGAGCAAGCATGTCATGGAATGCATTCTTCTCGGAACTATAGCTGGGGGGCTGGGTGCTATTTTCGTCTTAGGCTATTTTCTGTGTGTAGGACAAGGCAGGACAAGTGGTTAAAATGTAGAGAGTCTTAGTCTCCAACACTCTCCAAGGGATGAAATGATTCTGCTTCCCCTGCGCTGGGCCAAGGCCTAGCCAGGAGTGGCCAGCGACATGTGCATGTGCCTCGGTCTCCCCAGCTGGTGGAGTGGGGGATGCTGGTGATCCTGCCCTGAAGTCAGCTGTGAGCTGCTGCACTCTGCCCGAGTCCCCTGTTAGGCACTAGTGGTCCTGCTCTTGTTAGGGACCGACCTTCCACAGCCCCACCGGACAGAAAAGCAGAGACATCGAGGATGCAATCACACAAGAGGAGGTTTATTTTCTGGCTAGCCAGGGTCCAAGCCCCAGAGCACCAATGCAGTGGCCACTCTCACAGGCAAGGACCCCGACCGGAACAACGGCATGCCTTTTATCCCCATGGTGCACAAGCTGCGCACAAGCCGACTACGCATGGATCATGCGTTGACCTTTAAGATGATTGGTTGCCCACTATTGCCTTTTGAAATAATTGGCGGGTTGGTTGCCCTCTATTACCTGATGGGCCAGTCACCCGTGCTTCAATGACCTCATCCCATAATTCCCCTTACAGCGGTGTAGCGAGCAAGCAATGACCAGAAGCAAAGGTTTGCGGTTAGCTCATTGCCCCACCCAAGTAAATTCCTCTGCCCTTCCTCTGTCCTACAAATTCCTCTGCCCTACACTCTGGGATCTTCTCCTGGCCTGTCTGACACAGTGGCCATCCCACCAAGGTCCCGCGACCCTACCTCAAATTTGCTGTGTCCTTTGGGGAGCCGGCTGGCACAGCCCGCGCTGAGGAAGTAGATGTCTTTGATGAGCAAGCTGAAGAAGGGAATGACGACCTGGAAGGGAGAGGCACAGGTCGGCCTCGGCCGGCCCTGCAGCGCTGGCTCGAGGGCAGGGAGGCAGCCCTGCCAGCAGACACCGCCTGGACCCCGGCCCTGGGCGCTGCAGCCCAGGGGGCAGCGGGCAGGGAGACTCCAGGGCGAGCCGGAGCCTGGCGCTTCATGAGCTATGAGGCTCATGAGCGCGCCCTGCTGGGGGCGAGGTGGAACCACAGGACGGCGGTACAGGACCGGTACTGGGCCAGGCTGCCTCCTCCCAGCCGGGTCAAGGCGTCTTTCGGGCTGGTGCTGGGCGAAGGATGCACAGTTGTGACGACCCTTGAATATCTCTCCCATCGCAGTTTGTGAATGTGCTCAATCTGTGTGGAACAGGTGTGAATCATCTGGCCTGAAGTTCCGTGGCCAACTTTTTTATTTTAACGTTTTTAGCAATTTGTCATCCTGTGTCTTTCTTGACACTAAAGAGCCAATCCTGATACACTTGGGGTGAGAGCAAAAGCAAAGCATTCTTGCTCTGCTGCACAAAGGGAAAGGTTTGTGAATCCAGCCTGTGACAACTGGGCGTCACATGTGTCCCCAGGCTCCTTCCGCCTGCTTTGCATGCCCGCGCTGCCCCCCAGAGCAGCGAGCTCCACCACTAAAGGTGCAGACCGCCCTTTGGGGAACCTGGCTGGGCCTACCTCCTGCTGTGGGTTGAACTGCATCCTCGCAAAGGTATGTTCAAGTCCTAACACCCAGTGCCCGCATAGGGGACATTATTTGGAGACAGAGTCTTCGCTGATAAGATTAAGTTGAGGCCACACTGGACAAGGGCTGGCCCTAATCCAGTGACTGGTGTCCTTATAGAAAGAGGGAAGTTTGGACACAAAGGAGGGCAGGCCATCTAAGGGCGGAGGAAGAGATGGGAGTGATGTGGCTACAGGCCAGGGAATGCCTGGGGCCCCCAGAAGCTGCGGGAGGTGGGAAGCATCCCCCTAGAGCCTTTGGAGAGAGCGTGGCCCTGCTGACACCTTGATGTGGCCTTCTGGCCTGCAGAACTGTGAAAACCACGAAGGAATACATTTCCTTGTATTCTATGCTGTTCTATGCTGTATTCTATGCTGTTCCTTGTATTCTATGCTGTTCTATGCTGTTCCTTGTATTCTATGCTGTTGCTTGTATTCTATGCTGTTCTATGCTGTATTCTATGCTGTTCCTTGTATTCTATGCTGTTCCTTGTATTCTATGCTGTTCTATGCTGTTCCTTGTATTCTATGCTGTTCTATGCTGTATTCTATGCTGTTCCTTGTATTCTATGCTGTTCTATGCTGTATTCTATGCTGTTCCTTGTATTCTATGCTGTTCCTTGTATTCTATGCTGTTCTATGCTGTATTCTATGCTGTTCCTTGTATTCTATGCTGTATGCTGTTGTAAGCCATTGCACACTGACACCGCTCTGTCCTCAGCCTCTGGAGCTGGGGCATGCGCTGCCAGTCCAGTGGGGCCAGCCAGCCAGTGATCCTTGGGAACTGGGCCCCAGCACTGGCATTTCTGGCTCAGAGAGTGCTAGGGTCACATCCCCAGCCCCAAGTTAACAAGGTCTTTGAGGTGAGAGCCTAGGCTCTGACAACTCTGCAAAGCACAAAAGCACAGATGGCCCACCTGAGCAGGGCAGATAGGGAAACTGAGGCCAGAGAGTAGCAGGGTCTGGCCCAAGGTCACCCAGTTAGTGACTACCAGGACTAAGACCAGATCCAGATTTGGCAGGGTGACCGTCTGCCTGGTCTGCTCAGGGCTGAAGGATTTCCTGGGAAGCAGGACCTTCAGTGCTGAAACCCGGACAGTCCTGAGCAAACTGGGACAAATTGGTCACTCGACTTACGCCAACTCCACGGGTCTTTCCTGTGCCAGGTGCCAGAGCTCGGGGGACACACTCACTCCTGACCTTAGTGTAGTGGGAATAACAAAAACAAGGCAGTGTGGTCTCGGAGGTCTTTGCTCATCCCCTCTCCCTGGCTGGGTTTAGTTCCCACCTGTGTTCCCAAGCGGCCTCTGCTCACGCCCTGATCAAGGGGCCCCAGCGGCGGGCCTGAGTGGTACACTGCTAAGCTGTATGTGCACAGGCCCACGCTTCCTCCTCAACATGGTCCTGTGAAGCAGGGCTCTTATGACCCCGTCTGACAGATGAGGAAGCCAAGGCCCAGAGAGGCTGAGTAACTTGCATAAGATCACACAGCAGTAAGTAGCAGAAGCAAGACTGGAACCCAGGCAGCTCAACCCCAGGGACCCATCTTGCCTGCTTCCTCACTGTATGGGGGGGGTGTTCTCTGTCCCCTCCACTGCCATGGCGCCGATCCTCAGCCCCAGTGCTAGTGCATGGCAGCTGGACCATGTGGCACGGGGACACGCACGTGACACGCAGAGGATCACGGGCAATGGGACTCTGCACACAGATGGCTCCTCTGGGGCCTGGTCTCCGCTTCTGGAGGCAGTGGCCCTGGAGCTGTTCCCTAGAGGCAGTGTGTTCCCCAGTGGGGACTTCACCCCTTCAACCACGTGCATGCTGAGCCAGGTCACCCTCACATCCAGTCTGGTCTCCCTGTCCTCATGGCAGCCAAAGGGGCCCTTTGTGTCTGCACACCCACTGCCTTTGCTTTCCGGATCCAAGGAGTTCAATCAGAATCTAGCTCAGCTTTGAGGTCACCTAAGAAGTGGCCCGTGACATAGACTGAGAGAGAGGGGCAGACAGGAGCCAGCCACAGGCAGGAAGAAAGCATCAAGTGTGGTGACCACTGAGATCTCTGAGCCTATCAACCCAGCTGGGGCACCAGGGGGCTAGGAGAATGTGTCTGAGCATCCTTCCTTCCTCCCTTCCCTTCTTCCTCCTCTCCTTCCACCCATGAAGCATCTTCAGGGGGCCCAGTCCATGGCCCACATCTCTCTGGAAGTTAAGGAGAATATAGTTAAACTAAACACACAGCTCTGAAGGTCACCCACTGTGGCACCAGACCCAAATGCACGGCACCCAGCACCCAGGGCTGGGAAGGGCTCAGACCACAGGCACATGCACTGGCAGTCCGTCCACCCACCCCACGCACCTGCCACGCGGTGCAGAGAGCAGCGCGCGGCTGGCGTCTCAAGGCAGGGGCTGCAGCCCAGCCCAGCAAGCAGCTCCGGCCCTCCTTGCTGCGGCCAGAAGCCGGTGCCCTTGAGGCCACCGCACGCACCCGTGCCCCGGAACAGCAGGCGGCCTGATGGTGCGCAGACGCACTGCTCAGAGCCAGGTGGCAGATCGGTCCCTGGCTCTGCCACCTACTCACAGTGGAACTGGGCCAGTGACGTCTCCTCCCTGAGATGCAGTCTTCTAACTTGGGAAATGGCAAAGCTGAAGCCCATCCCACCAGGTAATCGTCAGGATTGTGTGTGGGGGTCAGACGGCCAGAAAGAGGCAGGTGCTCAGTGAAGTGAGGTCCCGGCCCTGTTGCCGAGCTCCGCTCCCAGGGGCGGATGGAGCCCTCCTGTCTGGGGCTTGAGGTCTGCCTTGCAGGACGCTTCTCCCCAGTGCAGCAGCCCTCCCGGGACCCAGCGTCACTGTGGACCCAGCGTCACTGTGGGCCCAGCGTCACTGTGGGCCCAGCGTCACTGAGGACCCAGCGTGACTGAGGACCCACCGTCACTGTGGGCCCAGCGTCACTGTGCACCCAGCGTCACTGTGGGCCCAGCGTCACTGTGGGCCCACCGTCACTGTGGACCCAGCGTCACTGTGGACCCAGCATCGCTGTGGGCCCAGCGTCACTGAGGACCCAGCGTGACTGAGGACCCACCGTCACTGTGGGCCCAGCGTCACTGTGGGCCCAGCATCACTGAGGACCCAGCGTCACTGAGGACCCAGCGTGACTGAGGACCCACCGTCACTGTGGACCCAGCGTCACTGTGGGCCCAGCATCACTGTGGGCCCAGCGTCACTGAGGACCCAGCGTCACTGTGGGCCCAGCGTCACTGTGGGCCCAGCGTCACTGTGGGCCCACCGTCACTGTGGACCCAGCGTCACTGTGGGCCCAGCGTCACTGTGGGCCCAGCGTCACTGTGGGCCCAGCGTCACTGTGGACCCAGCGTCACTGTGGGCCCAGCGTCACTGTGGGCCCAGCGTCACTGTGGGCCCAGCGTCAAGGACCCAGCGTCGCTGTGGACCCAGCGTCGCTGTGGACCCAGCGTCGCTGTGGGCCCAGCGTCAAGGACCCAGCGTCACTGTGGACCCAGCGTCACTGAGGACCCAGCGTCACTGTGGACCCAGCGTCACTGTGGACCCAGCGTCACTGTGGGCCAGGCGTCACTGTGGACCCGGCGTCACTGTGGGCCCAGCGTCACTGTGGACCCAGCGTCACTGTGGGCCCAGCGTCACTGTGGGCCCAGCGTCACTGAGGACCCAGCGTCACGGTGGGCACAGCGTCACTGTGGGCCCAGCGTCACTGAGGGCCCAGCGTCACTGAGGACCCAGCGTCACTGTGGACCCAGCGTCACTGAGGGCCCAGCGTCACTGTGGGCCCAGCGTCACTGTGGGCCCAGCGTCACTG